TCACTGCAAGTCAAACTATGAGAAGAGACAAAAAAGAGGAAGAAAACTAACTTTTCCAGCTCAGACTGAGCCGCTGAGTTCTGGAGAGGATAAGAAACCCGGATTTGTTTTAGTTTGGGCTCTATGATTAGTTACAAAGCTAGATTAAAGACTACAGGACAAATGAAATGTCCACTTTTGACACTTTTTACTTTTGATTACATTTTCTTTTCCTCCCTGCTTCATCTCAACCCACTGAAAATGTTACTTCTCAGTTTTATTTTTTGGTGTTTTCTATTTATTTATTTATTTATGTTATTCTTACTACTCTCTCTTTTTTTTAAATTGTCTATATACTTTTTTATTCACATGTTTGTGTTCGGTAAGAAGGAAGGATGTGGGTTATTACTGATCTGTAGCATAATCTTGTAGGATTGGGGAGGGAATGAGTGGTTGTTGTTTTTGTAAAAATAAAAAAAATCCTTACTTTTCATTGTTTGTACTTGACCTTGTCTCAGCATTTTCTGGTCTGTTGTTGGACATTCAATATTTTATTTTATTATTTATTATTATTTTAAATTATTTTATTCTATATTTTTATTTCTACATTGTATGTCCTTTCTTGCTTCTCATAGAAGTGTTGTGCACCAAACACCAAAAAGGCAAATTCCTTGTAAGTGAAAAACCTACTTGGCAATAAACCTTATTCTGATTCTGAATCTGAATAAAAAATACATTTAAAAGAGAAGCCTGGTCCTACCTGTGCCGTTGTTGGAGGGGGACTGCTGCTTCCGGGGGGGCTGCGGTGGGGAGTCCTCCAGCCTGGAAGAGAGGGAGGAAAACGGAGAAAAAGAGGAAAAAGAGAAAAAGAAATGTGAACAGTTATTGATCGATATACGTCTGTTACAATCTAAACCTCTAATTGCACTTTTCTGGAAGAAATCAGCAGCACCACTGGGTCAGACAAATGATGACAACTTTACCCCTGGAATGTATGACTTTTGTGGATGGTATGGACTTATCTGAAGACGACGAGGACCATTAAGAAATACCAGCTTGGAAATCTGGTTGGTATCAGAGCCTTTGTGACCAGTTTGTGTCTCTTGCTGAAATAAGTGCAAAAGTATTCAAATGCAGATGTGTATCTGAGAGGGTGTTTGTTTACGGTATGGTTCTTGTATTTTTTTATAC